ATAGGTATGTATCAGAGGTTTAGATATCATTAGCTTTGAAAGACTACTTCTTTAAGAAATGATGTCTCAAATGTTGGAAATTAGGAAGTGCTACATCAAAGCTGTATTTCTCAAGGCAATCAAACTATCTGATCTTAAAAGTGCTTTACGGATGCTAATTCTCATGACACTTATGAGAGACCATACCACCCATTTTACAGAAGGAAAAATGACTTGGATAGAAATTAAACTTCAGGAAAGACATATAGGATAATGTTAAAAATGTAATATTAAACATCATATTTTTTAGAAATAAACTATTTTTGGGATCTGACTCATTATGTTTTCATATTTGGTGTTGACAATGCTGGACCTCCTTGAGATACTGAACACAGACACAAAATTAAGTCCTAATCAAACATATTAGGAAGAGATTACCAGTTGTGGTCCTGATCTTAGTTCAATTAAAGTCAATAGAGCTGTGCTGTGCTCTTGCAAAAGGGAACAAAATGTACTACCTTATACTTTATGAAAATCCTATATAAGTAGAAATATCTGGTAGGGCAGCAATGTATTGAAGCATTCTGAGATACAGCAATATATTATGTGGATGGAAAATTTCAAACAGTTTTTCTTTTATCTGATGTGCCTGTGCTAATCTACATATAAATGACATTGTTAGCATGATCAACCATCCATATGACCATATGAATGGCCTGCAGAAATAGTTTGATTAATAATGTGCACAAGTTGTACTGGAAACAAGACTCCAATTAAACAGTCCTAAATGTTTTTTGTTGCATCTGCTTAGTAACAGCATTTAGAAAGATTAAAATATATTTTAAACATATTCTTCTTATATTTATAACTTGCATAGCAGGCCAACATTTTGTGAATATTGACTAATTACACCTAATGTTAATCCTTAATAAGCAATATCATTAATTACCCCATTTTATAAGTGGGATCTATGAGGCACAGTGAAAGGGGAAATTTTGCAGTAAGGAAGTGGTTTCAGGTATTGGTAGGCTGACCATATGTCCCAATTGGCCCAGAACAGTCCCAGATTTAGAAGGCCAGTCCTGACTGGTTGGTAAAAATTAAAACAGGAGTCCGGCGGCTAAGCGGAGTGGCATGGTGCACTAAGCAGCTCCACCTCCCCACTGGACTGTGCCCGCACCCCTGCCCACAGGCATCTGCCACTGCCTGCAGCAGCACCGCTGACAGAGGGTGGGGGTAGTGTCTGGGATGTCCCAGATTTCCTTATGGTCACCCTAGGTATTAGACAGTAAATCCATTAACGTTTCCCTTTACAGCTTCAATTGGACACAAGGATAGCTTTAAGAAGCAAAGGACAGTCTTGTTCCTTACAGCACAGGATTAGAAGATAAATTAAGAGGCTCAGCTGCATTCTCAATTTAGGGAACATCCAAGCCTTTTGAAAATCACTTCAGTGACAACAGTAAGCTTCTACTGCTTATGTATTCAAGCGCAAACTAACCCATGTCTTGGTGACTAAACTGGATTCTTGTCTGACTTGCACATCCAGCTGTTGGCTCATACCTAGTACTCACCTCTGGCTTCAAATTATACCTCAGAACACCTCTGCATCTTGTAACAAAACAATATGATTATAGAGCTGTCAAGGAAGTCACAATTTGAGGAAAAGGAAGTTGTTCAGGTATAGCTGAGCACAGCAATTAGCCAAGGGAATCTCTATTACTGGTGTTAATGCACGAGCTAAAGAAGAACCTGCTTAGGTTTCAGATTCCAAATCTCAGGCTGACTTTGCATAGTGGATGGTCAGAAATTGTGCACACTGAATGAACTGAATATAGATCAGGGGGATAAAATAAATGTAAAACCCTGAGAGGCTGGATATCTTTACAAAGATATTGTACAATTTTAGTTGCATTTTAAATGAAGTGCTCATTTCCTCCAAGTAAAGTGGGAAGATTTTAGTAAGGATACAATTTTTTTTTGTTTAAATCCAAGCCTACTCCCTAGAAATAATGGTTTTTATTTCTAGCTTAGTTCTCTGATACTAGTGCCTGTTACTAACAGTTATGGAGAGTCCTTGTGTAGGACTGAGTATCTTAAGAGATTGGTAACAGATTAGTGAAACTACACCTTTCAGCTCACTGGTTTACATATAGATCTTCGATCAATATTGATTGAATCTTGTTACCATTCAATGACTTAGAGCAGAGGTGCTCAACCTCCAGCCTGTGGGCCAAACGGGGACCGCAGAGCCATGCACGCTCCCCACAGACTAGAAAAACTGGCAACTGGGGAGCAGTGGAAGCTACATGCAGCAGGGTCCAGCCCTGCCGGGGCCAGCGCCAGGCACTGGAATAAGGGCTGGGCTCACCCCCAACATATCTGGATTGAACCAGGTTGTTCCCTGCCCTGCATACATCTGGATAGGAACTGCTCCATCCTGCCTCATGTCTGGATCAGGGTCAGCAGGCACCGAGGCTAGCCCCAACCCCAATCCAGACATGCAAGGGTGGGATGGAGAACAGCAGCCCTGATTGAGACTGGGGGGGGCTAGGCAAAGAGGCCCCCAATCTGGATGTATGGAGGGAGGCAAGGCAGAGCAGCCCCAATCCAGACATGCTGCAGGGCAGCAGAGTGGCCCTCATACAGACACGTAGGGCAGGGCTTCGAGCAGTGGTTCGCAGCCCGTTGAGACTGAAGACACCTTGTTAGATTCAAGGCATCCCCTGGAAAATGTCTGCTTTTGGTTTGTAAATATTTTTTGACTACTGAAAGAAAGATAACAGAGCAATTCTGCTGTTGCAAGGAACTCTGAAAGACCACAAGAGGTCAAAATGTTTTTAATACTATGACTTCCTCTTTGAAATCACTGGCTTAGCATATAAGAGTTTACTGCTCTCAACAAATTTCCCTAAAGGCAAATTAGCATGTTATAAAAACTACCATCAGCATGGATCCCCTTCTCGGCAATTTCACCAGGACTGATATTAATTGAATACTCCCTTATTTTCATATACAGAAATGAGTAATCCCTACATGGTGAAAAGAAAGAGTCCTTTTACCATCATATTTACTTGTATCTGAAAAAAGGAAGAAAACACTTGGAGCTTTGATCTGTCTGGCAAATACAGAAACATCATTCTCTTCTGCTACATCAAAGGTGCCCCAATGGTCAATGCCGCTTCTGGACTGACTTGACCTGATTTGAATTCTCTTCAGAAATGTATCTCATTCCAGCTCATTTCTGCTGCCAACTTAGAAAAATATTGCTCATCAAACAACAGCTTTTTCCAACTATTTTTAAAATGAATACCTTATTTACTTGATAATTTCTTTGGAGAATATGTTAATGAATGCATTTAATGGTAATTATATCAAGTTCACTTTTGTTTCCATATGAAAATGAACACCTTTAGAGAACAGATTTTAATGACAAGGGAGAAAAACTGCAAGCAGGGAAGAAAAGGGAAGAAATAGGTGTATAAAACAACACCATAGAAAGGAAGCCATTTTGGGCCAATTAGGACTGTAAAGAGTGGTGATCTGCTGTCCTAAAACAGTCGTATGAGTGAACAGAACAGGAGGCAAAATCTTGTAAGTGCTGTTAGTTCAGGTCCCTATATAAAGCGGATAAGCTGCAGGACCGGGATACGGATCCCGGGGTTCCCGGTTCCACATTGCCACTGCAACCTTGAAAAAGGCACTAGGTTCAGATTTTCAGAGGTGTCCTTCAATCTATGTGCCTCAGTATTTAAAGGCCCATATCAAAGCTTACTGATACTACAAGCAGGATTTGAATTACACTTTGACTCTCGGGGGTTGGGGGGGTCTGCAAAAAAAAATGGGCTGCCCATCATGTTGGCCTAATAAAATCCCCCAGACTTCTGACCATCCCCCCCACCAAGTTATGGTATTTCAAATCTTAAAGGGGGGCTCTCTTCTCTTACTGGCAAGCTTCTCCATAATTTGAATCCTGACGACAAGACTTTGCCGCTTCAGCTATGATGATTTGTGTCTCCAGAGCCTCCTACTTCAGTTATAGCCCTGCCACATTCACAAATGAAAGCTGGATAGAAACCAGCTATAGAGTTGCTAAACATTTTCCAGCAGGACATTTTCAGCTGGTTGTCTCTTTTTATAGCTCAACAATCCAAGGCCGGACACAGCCATGGGCAAACTGGGCGGCCGCCCAGGGCCCAGACAGAAATGGGGCCCAAAAATGGTCATTTTATAATTATTATTACCATAATCTCTGGCGAAGAGGGGCCCGATACGAAAAGTTCTCCTGGGGCCACCAGGAGTCTAGGTACAGTGCTGCAACAGTCATTTTGATAGTGTGATCATTGCTTTGCACACATGGCCGGTCTACATTTATTGCGCGATTCACCCATTTCTTGTGTAAGAATCACTTCGCACACGCGGCCGGTCTACATTTATTATGCAATTCACTTGTTTCTTGCATGAGAATCACCTTGCAGGCATGTCCGGTCTACATTTATCACACAATTCCCCTGTTTCTTGAGCGAGGATCACTTTGCAGGCATGGCCGGTCTACATTTATCACGTAATTCCTCCGTTTTTTGTGTGAGGATCACTTTGCAGGCATGGCTGGTCTACACTTATCACGCAATTCCCCCGTTTCTTGCATGAGGATCACTTTGCCAGCATGGCCGGTCTACATTTATTGTGCTATTCAGCCATGAACCACAGAATATAGGTAACGTGTAGCCGGCAACCCAGAGACAGCCCTGCCACAACAAGGATGCTGGTGGCAGGCACCTTGACCCCATCTCCTCAGTGGACGAAGCCATTTTTCACTGGGGGGGGATCCTGGGGTCACCACAGGCAGCCTGTGGGTCGGCGCACTGCCCTCGCCTCATTGAACTGCCCCTCCCCCCCATAGGGGGCGCTGCCTCCCGCCAACGCCGGGCGCGGCTCTCCCCACTGCGCATGCGCGGGGCCTTCCCCTCCGGGCCAGGACGGAGGCTGGGCCGCACGTGACGGCCCAACTCTCGCGAGAGGTGGCGGGTGTCCAACATGGCGGCGCTGTGTGAGGCGTTCACGCTCTGCGGCCTGGTGGCCGGGCCCGGGCAGGGAGTCCTGGGGCTGGAGCCCGCGCCGGGGGCCGACCAGGTGCTGCTCACGGACCGCGGCAGGACGGCCACGCTCTACAAGGTAGCGGCCCGGCGGCGTGTGCCACGGGGGAGGCCCCGTCCCCACCGCCCCGTGCGTGTGTGCGGCCTCGTGTGTGCCGTGAAGGGTCGCTGCGGGCCTCCTTGCGTGTGCAAGCCGCGGGAGCGAGGAGCTGTGACCCGCCCCGCGGTCTGCCCTTCTGTGCGAGGCGTCGCACACGAGCCCCTGACTTTAACCGCTTTCAAACGTTAAGTTTGGGGGGGGGGGCAAAAAGTCTGATTTTACCTGAGCAGACAAGATGCTTTGGGGTCAACCCGGTATCTTTTATGAAACCACCTCAGATTTTCTCAACCAATCTGCCCGTGTCCTTAGGTCCACACAGCGACACCCTCCATATCGCTGAATTCATATCCCTGGGACTCTTTATTTTTCAAATATAAAAACACTTAATTTCATCTTGACCGGAGGATCGTGGAAAAGTTCAACAAGCAGTCCTGTCCTCCCGCTCTGTTTCGCTCTTCAGGGCGTGGGCTGCCGCCTCCTCAGTACGACGGGGCCTGGCTCTCCCGTGGGATGGTCTCGTTGCTGCGGTTGTGAGTGGCCCCAGCTGTAAGGGTCTGTGTTGACTAGGAGGGTTTGTGCCGCAAGTCCCCAGATCGGGGAAGCATACGGATGTACGATGCCACATCATTTAAACCAGGGGTGGGCAATTATTTTGGGCGGAGGGCCGCTGACTGGGTTTTGGCCAGCCATGACAGGCAGCCCAGGGGCAGATAAATTATTAATTTCCTAAATATTTTAGGGGCCCCGTGGGCCAGATAGAGTGGCCTAGCAGGTTGCATTTTGCCCGCCCTGATTTAAACAGTAACAAAATCTAAATCAGGATGACTATTTGAACATCACAGGCCAACTGGTCAAATACCATAAAAGAAAGCTGAGGGAAAACATCTCAGAAATGTTAGTAATAGTTTCTTGCATAGCTGATGGCTGTTTTGGGCGATATATGTCCTAATTGAGTGGTTCCCAACCTTTTTAGATGGCGAGCTGCGGACCAGCAGACTGCAGACCGGAAGTGACCGGTGTACTGCGGACTGGCAGCCAACCCTGTTCTATACTCGGGATGAAAAAGAGTTGGCTTCCGGTCCGTGGTATGCCGGTCACTTCTGGATTCCTGGTCCGGCAGCCAAACCTTCGTGGCCCAGGGGTAGGGAACCTCTACCCTAATTCAAGGAGTGATGGTAGCCAAACTGCAGAGTAATAATGACCATAATACAAATAAATTAAACGTCTGTGGGGGTAGATAAGGGACAGAAACTAACACCGCAACACCCAACTTCAAAAAGGGAGACTTAATTAAATAAGGTTAATTAAAAATGCTCTTGGGTTATAATGGACATTACTAAAACACACAAAAAATAACCTTCAAATTCATGGAGTCTCTTACTGTGTGTGGACTGCCAAGAAGGGAACTTGCAGCTATGCAAGTAATACAAAAAGTAAACCACTGTGGCTAACTAGTGACATTGGGAAGCTGATTTGAGCCCCAGAAAGTCCTTTAAAATCTGTCTGATTGGACACTTAAATTATCAAAAACCTCCAGACTTCTTATAGTCATGACAGAATTTGTAAAAGATGTTAAAGGTCATATGCCAAGGCCTGTGGTTCTTTCCTTGGTGTTCAGGACCAGTATAACTGTTAACAAAGAGGGAAGATTAATCCATGCCTGTCAGCTGCAATGTTTTTAACACCTTCTGAAACACCTTGTACAGGTCATTGTCTAACACCATGCACTAGCTTTGATCCAGTATGTCAGTTCCTATGTTATCACTTGAATAGGGAGTTAATGATATTTTGATTAACTTATGTAATATTTTCCCTTCTTTGAAGGTATATTTGTATCCTATGTGAAAGCTGAAAAGTTACTTTTAGCATAGCTAAAATAATTATTTTGACTCTTCTAGGTTTCAGATCAAAAAGCACTTGGTTGCTGGTCAGTCAAACAAGGTCAAATGATCACATGTCCAGTTGTCTGTAACTTTGAAACTGGGGAATTTGTTGCTGTTCAAGACGATAAGGTGAGATTTATATTTTTCAGTGTTTAATGCTATAAAGTCTTCTGAATGAATTGCAAATAAGAAGGAAATTAGTCTTTAGTTGTGATTTATCTGTTAATTTGCACAGCTGGAAATGCCTCTTATTCTTTAACATCAATGCAGCTTCTCATGTCAAAGGGGCCATCCAAATCCTGGAACACGTCCAGGATTCCTCTAGGATTTGGATCACCTCCCCTCATTGTATCATTGCACCTACGGTGGATAAGAGGGTTCATGTAGTCTTGGGATTGGACATGACTTTTAGCTCATACATTTTGGTTGGAAGAATCAATAAAATAATAAATGTTGACATTTGGAAATGTCCTGATTTACATTAATATACCATGTAAATGATTGGAATAATTCCTAACTTCACATATCCTGTTTTCAGCCCTCTTTTTCTGTTCTTTCATGTTTTAAAATTTTTACTGAGAAAATATCTGGTACCATATATACTTCTAGTCAAGGATTCTTTTGAACACTTCCTCATGCCAGTGTAGTACATTTAATAACTGGAGTGTCTCCTGTCTTTTTCTTTCTGTCATCCTTCTCCTTGACCCCATCCCCTCCCACATCCTGTCATTACTATTTTTTTTCTGTTTCCTCCCTTTCAGTCTGTATTTATCTGACTTCTGCTATCCATCTGGAATGTTATAAGCCTTCTATTCTCAAAAATCTTCCCCTCCTTCCTTTCAAACTCAAGCTTACTGAGGCTGTTCTTTATTCCTGACACCTGAACTCTTTTTTGTCTGGATCTTCTCGGTTCCCCACCTGTACAAACCCTGTAAAAGTGAACTCATTTAGATCACTCTTTATGAATTCTGGAATACTTGATTGATTGATTTTTAACTAATTAGTATTTCAGCAGCCTGGGTGGTCTATATGGAATGAGATATTGTTTATTTGTGCTTTTTAAGGTTTTACGAATATGGAAGGATGAAGATGTTAACTTGGATAAAGCATTTAAAGCAACAGTAAGTTTTTTTTAATTGATTAATATTCATTTTAAAATTAGAATTTTGCATTTTGGGTGAAGAAGATGTTAGCTTTCTTTGTTTGCAGTCTTAATTTGTTTTAAAAGAAGTTTAAGACATTTCTCTTGAAAGTATCTTTATGTCTAGATGTAAAGATTTTTCTTGCAAATTCTAAAGATTTCAGCAAATGTTTAGACTTAAAATGATTAGCATGATTAATAATGATCTTTTGAAACAAAATTGAATTTATAGATACAGCATTTTTAAGTCACTTGGTGAATTAAACTTAAGTCTATGTTTTGACACTGCTGCTGTGAATAAGTAGTAGGCAACTCACCTGATATAGGATTTTTCTTTTAGAAAAAAACTTTTTGCAGTTGGGGATATTGCTGTAGCGAGGTCTGGTTGGCTGTGCTGCTGAGTACAACTGCTTGTTCTAAATTGTAACTTATCTGATGTGATTTAGAAGTATGATAGTGAATCATCAGGGATCCTGGCTTTCTCTGTTTAAAAATTGCAAATTCTCTGATAAAGAGTCCTCAATTCTCTTGATTAAAAGCCACAAAATCCATGTTTTTCCATGATTAACATGAAACACCACCATATATATATTTTATTGATATATTTAGAGTTTTAAAGCAGCTTGGAAGCCTATCAGTGCCTCAATCATTATAATAAAATAAATTCTAAATACCTGTATATTTTGGTGTTTGATTTTGTTTTTTTTAATCATGGAAAATCAGAGCTCCTCCTGCCCCCTTCACTCACCAGGATGCGGGTCCAGCTGTGGCTGTCCCCAGTGCTTTGTGGTACTAAGCAACCCTGATATGCCAGTGCCCTGCCCCTGCTGTTGTCCCTCACTCCCAAATCACAGCACCCCCTCCCCCACCCCCGGGGCCTACTGGTGCTCCTCACTCTCAACCTGCAGCCCCCTGTTCCCCTAGCCCTGCTGGAGGGGGCCCCCAGCTGCCACCATCCTGACTGGGCTGAAGCATGGTGGCTCCAATTTGTGTGGGCAGCAGCAGGGTATGTCCAGCCCCAGTGTGGACTGGAGGGAGGAGGAGTCCCAGGGCTCCTGTACTGCACCAGTCAGCCTGGCCAGGCCCCCTCTCTCTGCAGTGTCTCCCAGTTGCCCCACCCCTGTGAGTATGGGTACCGGCCCTGATACTGCCA